TCCACAGTCCACTTGGCTTCATTTTCACAGGTTCACATACTGCCCTCTCAAGGGTACACCGAAACCTCCATGTGCCTGTAATTTGCAGTATGTATGCCTAAAAAGCCAGTGTCACATGGATGATGCCAAGGCGTGCTCCCAGTGGGAGCAGTAGGGACCATTGGACCATGATTGCAGTGGGCTCTGAGTGCCTGCATGGCTGAACTCTGAAATGTACCTCCTTAGGCTGCCTTGAAGGAGCTGGGATATCTGGGCTCTCTTCTCAAAGCAGTTTTTCAAAGTTGTTTATCCTTTTACACCCTTTGAGTATGCATTCCTGAGATGTCTTAAAGCCGTCTTTTCTATTGTCCTGATGGAAAGTACTTGGCTTCTTAATGCTAATCTTTTCAGCAACCACACACTCCAAGGTTCCAACTTTGAAGATGCAACTGTAAACTTTTCACATCTGCTTTTTGTTCCTGATTTTCACTGTAAGTCTGGCTAAAAGTAGTCAGCAGTACCCACTCACCTTAGAGTCTTAGGACACGGGCAAAACAGACAGTATTTTTTACCATACTGCAAAATAATATGGCTTTTAGTCCAATCTCCAATAGAGTTCTCATTACCAACTGGAACCTCATAAGCCTGGCCTTTACTGTCCACATTCCTACCAGTATTCTGGTCATCCTAGCACTGACCAGAATCTCTCATCAATCTCTGCATACAGCATGTTAAGGCTTTTATAGCTAGGACCTCCAAACCTTTCCAAATTCCTCTCACAAACAAGTTCCAAAGGCTTTCTCAAATTACATGGTCAAGGTATAGTCACAACAATGACCCCACTTTTGCTACTGAAATCTGTAGTAGTCACGTTTTCATCACTGGAACAAAATACCTTATACAACTTACAGAAGGAAAAGTTTATTTTGGCTTATGGTTTTCAGAGGATTCAGTTCATGGTTGGTAGGCTCCAAGGCAGAAATGGCATGGGAGAAATGGCATGGCAGTCAAGAAGCAAAAAGAAAAGATAGGGTCAAAAATACACCTCTCCATGTCACACACTCAGTGATGCACCTCCAACCAAGCCCCACCTCATAATAGCACATTTAGCTACAGGACTCATCAATGGATGGATTTACTGATGTGTACAGTGCCCCCATGATCAGATCACCTTCCAAACACATGTGACTTTGGGGGGACATTTTGTATATAAACCATAACAGTTTCTATGTTGATTTTGGCAACTAAGTGTCTTCTCTGGTATGCAAACCCAGGTAGGTAGAATTCTTTAGTAGGCTTGTCTCGTGTAGAAAACTGAAGTGTTTCTTCCACCTTAATCTGTCTCAAGCAAATAAGTTTAAAGAACATTGCAAATAGGAAGGGAACGAAGGGATGGGTGGAGAGGGGAAGGGAGGAGAAGAAAGGAATTTAAAAAGAATTTAGATGTGTTATGTACATGTATCAACTTCCCAAAATGAATGTAATCATAGCCCGGGGATTTAGCTCAATGGTTCTGGCGCCTGTCTTGAAAATGAATGTAATCATTATGTACTGCAAACATGTACTAAAATGAAAATTGAAAGAAAAAAAATTAAGAAGTGACATGGTGGTTCTAGTCCCAGTTCAACTAACTCGTGTCTGTTCTAGGTAAATCACCAAATGCCTAGACGCCCTCATTTACAAACCAAAGACATTGCTTCTGGCATTGTTGCTTGGTATACAGTGGAGATTCAATAATCTATGAATACACAAGAAGTAGAGACATCTTCCAACTTTTTGTTATACTGTTTCACTTTTGTGAAAGTAGTCAAACAGCAAAATGAAATGGAAATGAAATAGATGTATTCCTCTTGTACTGCTATTCTTGAAGTAGTCAGAGACTAGAAGACATCAGCCAGCACTGGAAGTTGACCCTAGAAGCAAAGGGGTAATGAGAATACAGTGACAAAGTAAATAAGTTAGTTCAGTTTGTGAACAATTGAACTAAAAAAGGAAAAACAAACAAAAATGGCCAAAATAAACCAATGAATCAAAGCTTCTTCTTTGTTTTGTTTTTAGTACAGAGAATTGAACAGGGTCTCACACATGCAAGTGCTCTCCCACTGGACTACATCCCCATCCCTTTATGTTTTATTTTGAGACAAGGTCTTGCTAAGTCACTAAGTTAGTCAATAAGTTGGCTTGAACTTGCAATCCCCCTACCTTAACCTCCCATAGTGCTGTGATTACTTATGTGGAAAGCTTAAGTGTTTTGTTTTCTACTTTAGCTATCATTCCTGGCTTTAAATGGTATTTTACATGACTAATTTGTGTCTAGAACCACAGACTTTTTGAAAAATTTTCATATACTCAGCTTCTCAAAAGAGCTTTTTGTATTAATCCACACAATTCCCCTAGAAAAGAAGCTACCTTTGAGGTTCCTGAACTTAGATTGCAAGACAAAAGTTAAATATAGAGTAAGTCAAAGATAGAGGAAAGAGGTTTTGGGTCAACCAAAAAAGAATTCAACATGTCTGGTTGTAAAATAACTTTGGGGGTTCCCTGAGTTAAAACATTTTGTAAGGAAATTGTACTCTTTTTATATTTGCCTTAATTTCATTCTACTATTTCTGAGCCACTCCTACTAGCCATGTTAAATCCTTCTTTTCTCTTTTTGGAATCTAAACTTAAGAAATAAAGAAAGGATGAAGAAAAGATGCACTGGAAATACAAACTCTTACAGTATAGTAGGAAAGAAGATGACAAACTGGTGTGAAATTCTGGAGCCTCAAATGAGAATGTAACAGAATGTTCAGTGACCTTTCCTTAGGATGCACACGTGAGGGAATGTCATGGTACACTGACTTAACTTTTACTAATTTGCATTTTCAGAATATTGCTATTAATGACACATGACACTTCACAAATTACACTATGACATTCTGTACGAATTACTTCATTTCTAGTTGCCTTATCAAGCTGTTTCTTCTGTTCACTTAATAGGAAAAAAAATGTGCTGGGCCTTTATTCTCTAAAGAGGGTAGAAGTTCTTGCTGAGCAATGACATTGGTTCCCAAGCTATGTTCTGAGGAAATAGCTCCATAAGATGCCTTATTTTAAAAGGAGTGGAGGTGAGGAGACAGTTCCTATGGTCTAATCCAAAGTTTGAGATTTGCTAGGGTAAACGAAGTTAAAAATGATTATTTCTAGCAGTACTTCTGAAAATGTTTAATTCACTAACTATGCATTATGATTTCACAAAAGGAGAATAATTCATTTTTTGCCCAAGTTTCTTTGAACACAGAATATGCTTTTCAGAGATTTTTCTCATGACTAGTGTTTTCTATGATGTATGTTGAGAAATAATAGGATCAAACATCTTTGTATGTTTAAAAAGGTAAAAATCCTGCAAAATTTAACTAGTCACTGAAATAAGTATAACCCAAAAGGTAGAGTTAAGGGAAGAAAGCTGGCACACCTTCAGCCATAACCATGCTACATTCTGAGCCATGCTCCAGGGACTAGAGTTTGTTCCTAAGAAAGCTTTCATATTCCACTTAATTAAAATTCATTTGGCTCCTTCTAGGTATCTTCCTGAAAGAGCTAAAGACATCAAATTACAGTGATAATGCATACCTATGTTTACAGCAGCACAACTCATAATAGCAAAGTCTGTATGTCCATCAACAGCTGACTGGATAAAGAAAATGTGATATTTGTATACAATGGAATGTATCACTCTACCCTAAAAGATAAATTTGAGTTATTTGTAGGAAAACAGATGCACTTTGAGACCATAATTGTAAGTGAAATAAATAAGACACACAATATCCCATGGTTTCTCTTATATGAGAGACCCAAAGTACAAAGAAATAAAGAGCAACATGAAAGACAGATAACAGGAAAGCAGGGAGAGAGAGCTTTTGCAAGTCAGAAGGGGACCAAGAGGCTGAAGGAGGGGAGACAGGGATGTGAAAGGAACTGAAATGTGTTATGTACGTGCACATGCACCTGAATGTGATCACTGTGTACTGCACATAGGCACTCATAAAAACAAAAATTAAACAGCAACAACAACAACAACAACATCTCCCACCCCATTCCGGCACTAACGAGTGTCCGGGCACGAAGTACTCTTACATATCTTCATTTCTACCCTTGGCTCAGTACAGCTCCAGTTCCATTACTCTTACAGACCCATTAACACGACTGCTTCATAATCATGAAGGCTAACTGCCAAGAATGCTTGCTTCACAGGAAGCAAGAGGCACTGTTTAGCTGCCCTTCTAGTTTGTGCAAAAGGGTCAATATGTCTTTTTTTTTTTTTTAACATTTTTATCTTCTTGAAAATGAAGAAACATTTCTAAAAGTACTTTTTGAATGATTGCAAGAAAACTGAATGTTCAAGACATAAAGCTAAGCAAATGTAACAATATAGGTTTAAGGGTGGTGCAGTACAGGATTCAGAATTGACAGAAGTTACTAGCTCATTATCAGAAATATGATGGGATCTAATGACTTCCTTCAGATCACACTAGAATTTTGACTTTTTTTTTTTTTTTTTTTTTTTGGTACCGGGGATTGAACTCGGGTCCTTGCGCCTGCGCAGCAGGTGGCGAAACCACTGAGCTAAATCCCCAGCCCTAGAATTTTGACTTCTGCAGAGACCACCCTCAGATTCCAAGGTCTCAATTAGTGGACTTCATCTTCAACAGGTCCTCAAAGGTCACCCACAGGACTGCTTCATCATCTTCCCTGCTCCCAGACAGCACCACAGCTAAGTACTCAAGTCAGAGGAATCAGTTGTCAATATCCCACATTGTCACAAGGCTTTAGGGAAAAAAATGAGAGGGGCATTTACTGAGCACCCTGGTAAAAGCTCAAACAGATTTTTTCCCTATTTTATAGATTTAAAAAACTGAGGCTGAGGGAGGTTATATTCACCTAAGGTAAAGCCAAAGGCTGATAAACAAATTAGGCAAAATTTAAGTTAGGTCTAGCTGAGTCCGAAGTTTGATTTACAAAATCAAGCTGTCTCATCATTAAAACACAAAACAACTCCATTTTTAATACAAGCACAAATGACCCATTTTTGCATTTTCTCCCAGTATTTAGCAAAATATCTCAACTTTAATTATCACACCAACTTCAAGAGTCCTGATGTTTAGATCTTCTCATTCATTTGCCCAAATCAATGGAGTTATTTATTCTCAGCTGCGGGTAATGAACTTTCTTAGCTCAGCATTTTGTGGGGGGAAAATGTCTCAGTACTTTGAATTGCTTCATTTCATGCTCATTTCTCAGTGTACATCTTCCCGGTCTCCTTTTAAAAATAGATTCCACAATCATGACATATTCAAATACAAGAGACAGGCTGGAGAGCACTGGGAGGGCAGATCTGAAAGCCACATGGCTACAGTACCTGTCTGTAGTCATTCTCATCAAACAGGAAATTCCGATTTGTGAAGCTTCTCTCCTGTATTCTTGATTTAAAATAAACACTACCTTGCAACTGTAGATTTGGATTCTATGTGTCTGTCCTAGTTGCCATTCAGGTTGAGTCTATTCTGTTTCCTCATTCTTTAAGAAAGTAAAATTTCTTAAATTCCTTTCAAAATTCTGATTCTGTCCCAAAATTTAAAAAAACATTTATAGGGGGTAAGGATGTGGCAAAGGCTCTTGGGATTCAATTTCCAGTACTGGGGAAAAAAATATCCATTATTCTTTAGTCAACTGCAATTCACCAGCTTTCCAAATGAATGAACAATTTAGAGTTGAAATCCCACTCCCATCATCAACTTTTTAATTTCTTTGACACCTACGTTTGCTTTGTGTGGTAAAAAACCAAGCAGCAAAGGAAAAAAAAAATGTAATGTGCAGTTTGAAAAATAGTTTGAGAAATCTGCTTAACAGTTTGTTTATTTTGCTTACTGTTATCATCATTCACATCCCCTAAAGGGCAGAGAGAAAAATCGATCTTTTTCAGGAAAGACGGTAATACAGCAAAGCTTCTTTCCCTCTTGCTTAGCCTGATACCATATATTCACAAATGAAGATAATTCCATAAGTGCTATTCCTCATACAAATGCCCACAACACCTTCTTTCAAATGTTCCTAGCAGAGAAATTATGTAACAGACTATCTGGCTTGTTCCTTACTTTGAAAACAGACGGAGGTTTCCCAGTGTGGTTTCCTTGGCCTTTCACCCTCTTCATCATCTCACTTCATCCCATCGCCCCACATGATCTCAATCAGTGCTCTCATGCAGCAGAACCGACAGTTGAGTTGGAATCACATCTACCACTGTCTGGAAGAGTTGGTCAAACATCAGTCACTCAAAACTAACTGACTTGACTATGTTCAATTTCCTTATTAAACGTCATTCCTTCAAGCTGTGAAGACCAGGATTTCAACAGTAGCACACAGTTCCTGCTTATTTCTGCAAAGATCCCTTGGACATGGTCAAAACTTGAGGTAGATGCATTGCAGTCCTTTCCTTAGCTACTCTAGCAGGTAACTCGTCCCCCCAAATGGGGAAAAGTGAGTAATTTCTCCCTCTCCATCATTTTTTTTCCTGTGACCATGTCCAGGTTCTTCATAGGCAGAGGTCACTTGTTGGAAAATATGTCACATTCACTGCTGACTCTGCCACTGTAGCCTCACTGATGTGACGACAGCACAGTAATCCCAGATCAGTGTTTCTCAGACCACAAAGTACCTATGAATCACTGGAGGATTTTGTTGAAATACAAACTTCGATTTAATAGGTCTGGAGTAGAGCCCACACTTCTGCATTTCTAAGAAACTTCAACCTGATACCAATGCTGCTGGTTTGCTAACCGCATTTGTGTGGCAAGGTCTTCTTAGCTTGCCCTCCCATATTTGGATCACACTTGACCTGCAAGTCTCCTTGCGACTGGTTATTTACCATGACGACTAAACAAAGTTCAGAAGCTCTGAGTAGGGAGACTTCTAACCTGCACACAGGAGTTAAGTTTGCTGACTCTACTTCCCAGACTGAGTCCTGCTTCATGTCCAGAATGACTTTATAGTCTTCCCATTTAGCTGACTGACAAATCCTACTTCAGCCTCACGAGCTTTATCTGACACTGCTCTACCAGCAACATAAACACTACAGGTGTTAAGGAACCTGTCCTCACCCCACGATATCTGATTCACTAGGTCTGAGGTAGGCCCTAAGGAAAAACATACTCTAGGTTAATGATGCTGAACCTTTTAGGGACTGAGGGCCATAACTGCAACCCAAAACCTACTTATTTATCACAAAGCACCAACACTGCTATTAGACCCGAAAACTGAGTTAGTTTAGAAAAAACAACTGTTACCCAATGCTCGGCTGCTGGGGTGACTTGGCTCATGTGCCGACGGAGAGGACTCTGCACGCCTGCTTCGGCACGTGTGCTACAGTTTCACTGCTCTAGGTGATTCGAACACATGCTCAGATTCTGGGGAAAGTACAAGTGAACTCTTTGATACGACAGAGAAAACTATCTTATGGCTGTTACTGCCTTTATTGAAAGAAAGAAAGAAAAGTGGGAAAAAAGGCAACAGAACTTGAGCATGATGTGAGAAACAATTTCCTCCTAATTTGGACCCTTACTCAAGGACATTCATGCTTAAAGAGTGTGTTCTCTCTTTTTTTTTTGGTACCAGGGATTGAACTCCGGTCCTTGCGCTTGCAAGGCTAGCGACGGAACCACTGAGCTAAATCCCCGGCCCAATGTGTTCTGTCTTTTTCCTCTAGAGAAGTTTTCACTAAAAACATGAAGTATGTCTTATGTGTTCTACAGAAAAATTTAATGTACATATGATTATAGATATATTCAGTGATCAAAATATCAAAGGGATGGTTATTTGACTTTCTGATTGAACAAATGAAACAAGAGTTGTCCATTTACAATTTTTTAAAAATATGTACAAGAAATATATATATATAACAAGAAAACCAGCTAACAAAAGTAACAAATGAATATCAGTTAGTGCCTTTTAAATAGCAGGAGCAAATGTAAAATATAAAAAAGTAACTTTGTGAATGAAATGTCCTTCCTAGGAAAGGCTACAGTTGGGCTACTTGGTCTCTTCTAGGGCCGGTGTGGCATCTTGAGGGGAGGTAGCCTCTGCCAGAGCAGCAGCAGGTCCTGCTGAAGCCACAGTCTCCTCACACACAGCAGGGATGGCTTCTGTTGGACTGGGGGTCATCGCAGTCTGATCGGGGGTGCTCTCAGCCTGACTAGAGCTCGCGTCAGGCTGAGAGGCTGGGCTCTCCTGACTGCAGCTGGCATCTGCTGGACTGCTTAGGCTGTCAACTGGAGCAGCCATGGCCTCTTCTTCTATTTCTAGTTCTGTTTCTTGACTTGGAATTTCTTCTCCTTCTTCTACCATAGCAGGTGGTAGTTGTAAGAAAGTCTAATTAAAAGAAGGACAGCATCAATATGAGCCCAAATGAAAAAAAAATACTGGTTTCTAAGCTACGCTCACACCTTAACAACATCCTCTCAACAGAAAACGCTTATCCTAGGGTTCTCCAAAACAGGCTGGCATTTTACATACAGATTTAACACCTCTGACAACAAGGATCTAGATTCTGCTAAAATCAGGGGATTCAGCTACATATATGTCACATACTGTGTACACATAATGTACATAGTACATATTAACGATCATAGTACATACTAAATTTTCAGAGAGGAAAACACAACACACTATTAAGAGTCTTAAGCAAAAGAATATGCTGTAATGTGATAAAAAAGAAACAGTGGCTGATGAGGACTGACTGCCACACTAACTCAAGAAAGGCCTCATTCCAATGAAGGAGCCCTATTAGGGGTAGACAGAAGCCAAGTCTCAAGGATACCACGGGGAAGGAGGAACAGGGCACAGGCGGGTAACTCAGTGAACTAAAAAACCGGAAGAGCTTGCTCTATGCTCAGCTTCCTTTGTACAACAGGGCAGTCTGGAGCTAAAGCACAACTTTTCTCCTTGGGGTATCTTTACTTTGTTGGAAATTAAACAATACTTTTTAAAGGATTGCAATGGCAGCAAAAAAATGAGAGCAAAAAAGCTAGCAAAATGTATGCAAGGTCTGTATGAAAGAAACCAAAACCCTGGTGATGGGACTTCAAGCTCTAAGTAAACGAAGAGATGTATCATATGTATAGAAAGTAAGACTCAATAAATACTGTTAATTTCCCCAAACTGATCCCAAACAATTCTCCACAAAACATCCTACTTCAAACTGCAGCATGATTTTAAGGGCAGAAATTGGTCAGCTCATTTTAAAATAGAAAAACTAAAATAGTAAAAATGTTTGAAAAAGAGCAAAGCTAAAAAGCACTCATGCTAATTTTAAGATGTACTATAAAACTATAGTATGCAAGGTGGTGTGGTAATGGTGAAAAGGCAGACAAACATATAGAATAGAATGGAGGGTCCAAAAATAGACCCTCATGAATATGGTCAATTGTTGTTTTTTACTAAGATGACAAGAAATTCAACAGAGAAACACTATTTGGGATGTGGTGCTGAAATAATTGGATATACACATGCAAATGAATAACACCCAGCCATACTGGAACAATACCCAAAAAAGTACTTAAAACTTATTGCACCTGTAAATATGAAACCTAAAAAATATGCAACTGCTAGAAGAAAACTTTTGTGGCTTGGGGTTAAACTACATATTTTTAGGATGTATAAAGCATGAATTCTAGAAAAACTATTCCAAACACTAACATCAAAATTTGAAACTGCTCTTTGAAAGATATTTGAAAGAGAAAAAGCAAGTCATAGACTAGGAGGAAATACCTGTAAAACATTTATCTGATAAAAGACTAACTAGAATACATGAAAATCTCTCAAGTCAATGACAATAAAACATACAACCCAATAAAAAAATGAACAAGATATCTGAGCAGATACAACTTCAAAGAAGATATACAGATGGCAAATAACACATGAAAAGATGCTCAAATGAAGCAATTATAAATTAGAGAACATACTATATTGTCACACAGCTATCAGAATTGCTAAAATACAAAAGAAACACCACATCAAGTGTGTGGAGGATATGCAGCAACTAAGTCTCATAGTGCTGGAAGGAGTGTGATGTGGTAGAGCCACTTAAAAAAACAGGCTGGTAGTTTCTTAAATAGTTATAAATAGATTTAAGATATTGTCTAATTATTCTATTCCTAAGAATTTACCTAAGAGAAAGTGCAATGACTTGTAGAAAATGCTCATAGCTACTTTATTTCTAATAGCCCCAAATGGAAACAACTCAAGTATCTACCAATAAGTGAGTAGGTAAACCACAGTACTACTCAGAAAAAAACACAACGGACTATTGGTACACACAACATGAGTTAACTGTGAAATAATAATAATGAGTAGTAATAACTAGAAAATAATATCTGTATGATTTCATTTATATATATATATGTCTAGAATGGAGACTAATGTACAGTGCCAGAATAGATTCTCAGTGGCCTGGAAAATGTGTAAAAGAGACTGATGAAGGACCAGGAGAGATGATAAAGTAGCACAAGGGGACTTTTTGAGATAATGTATCTGTTCATTTCTTGATTATGATGGCCCTACAGGTAAGTACATATATCAGAACACATCAAATTATAAATTTTAAATATGGGTACTTTATTACGAGCCAAACTATATTTATATAAAGATGTTCTGAAAACATGAATGCTACATGAATAACAATGAGCTACTTTAGTTGGTTCCTCATTTTAAATATCCATTCCGGAAAAGAGAAGATTATTTCTACAAGAAAAATGAAGAGTCCATTGTGGAGAAGCTCACCTGATGATAATGATGTGTGGTCCGTATGAAATGCAAGTACATGTTGTACACATAGTTTGCCATCTGGGGCATATTCTTCACTATCTGTACTTCATGAGGTGGTCTTTCCCCATTCTAGAAGAAGGCAAAAATACAGTTAAATATCTACTGAAAAACTCAAGAAAACAACATGGAAGTGTTTCTCTTTCTTATAAATAAGCAATGTTAGGGTTTTAAGGATGTAAGAATAGTAGGAGGATGTACATAAGATGCAAGTGTGAGAACCCAGAACATATTTCATGAAGAGTAGAGACTCCATTTAAATGAAGAAAACTTACTGACTAGTGATGAGTCACTAACTTTTCAAACAATTTTGGGTTGGTAAGTGAAATGTGGGATTTGGTCAATTACCTAATATAGAAGAACTAAACAAGAGAAAATCATTTGACTAGCGAAAGGAAAAAAAAAAAAAAAAAAAGGCCTAAAATAGACAAAATAAATATTGCGTATACTCCAAAGACAGCACACAAGATAATTAAGGAAAAAATTCTTCCTACTTGTTTTTCTAAAATAGAAGACATTAACCTGTAGTATTATTTAACATGTAGACTATTAGTCATGAAGGTAAACATTTAAAATATTTTTCCCCCTTCCCCTGCCCTCCCTTCAACCCCTCCATCCCTCCCTATTTACAAAGACTTTGTTTCCATTTTTCCATTTTCTCATATTCATTCCATTCCCTTCTTTCCTTTCCCCTACCCCTCCCTCTTACTCTATCCCTTTGCCCCTTTTCTTCCTATTTCACATTATCTATTATACCTTTTAGTCCTTATTTACACTTTTAGTTTTTCACACTAGAGAAACTATTTGGTATTTACACATGTGTGTCCTATTTCAAAATAATATTTTTTTGCAGACAGGGTCTCTCTATGCAGTCTAGGCTGGCCTGGAGTGGGCGATCTTCCTGCCCCAGCCTGTGTGCTGGGGTCCAGATGTGTCCCGCCACGCCCAGCTCAGATGTTCTTTTTAAAACTTTTTCATGTCTATCAGAATTGTCTGGGAAAAACTTAACAGCAGATGCTTGGGTTCTGGCCTCCCCAGACTTTAATTCAGTAGGTCTGGGACAGAAAGAGGTGATTAAGATCTTACAGGGTAGTTTCTATTAACATGAAAAACCTTGCTCTAGCAGTGTGAAATGGCAAAGCAAATGAAGGAAACATAAAATGTGTCTTACTTCTTAAACCAGCTTAGAATAAACATTAACAACTTTCCTACTTACAGTCATGAATAAAGTATTTTCTTACTGCAGAGACCAATTCCAAAAACTATAAAGGTTAAGAAAAAATTTTTTTACAAGTGTTCAATTATTTAATAACCAGTTTACAGAAGATTGAGAAGTGCAGAGTTATAGGACGGTGTCCAAACTGCAGAGCCTGGCACCACCCTCCAATCTGTCCACCTCTTTCCTTCTATTTTCCTATTTGTCAGAACAGGACTTTTAAAAACAAAAACAAAAATGCAGTTAAAGAAAAATATTTATCATTATGCTAAAACACACAGAATTTTTCTTATGTTTTAAGGAGTATAAGAAATATGCTATGAAATTTTACACATTCACTTAACATTTTTAGTTAAAAATTTAAAAATTTAATTTAAAATGTAATGGACCTTTCAGATATTTCTTTAAAAGCCAAACCTGAAAGTCTATTACCACGCTAACCTTCATAAAAGAAAACTACAACAAAATAAATCACTAAATAAATAAAGAGGAGAATGACACAGTGAGTAGTAACATGGACCTTATAGTTAAGACTGCCTGAGTTTTCAAATCTTGGATCCCCCACTACCTACTGACGCACAGGCAGAACCTACTTAATTCCTCTTCAGTTTACTGGTGTACAATAGGGTTAATTAGAAAACTTACCAAACACAGTTTTTGCTGAGATGAAATGAGATAATGTATGTAAAGATCCAGTTGCCCAATACATGGTAAGTGCTTAGTAATTGTTAGCTGATATTACTTCTTATATAGAAAAATCTAATTCAGTTCCTTGTGTAAGGGGCATTCTAAATCAGTAACTGAGTGTTACCAGGTAAAGTGTTCGCCTATAAGAAAACCCAAATGTCCCCCTCTGAGGATGCTGCTCCATACCAAGAAGAAACAATTCTGTCCTACCTTTCTAGTGGTTGGGAAAGGTTCTGCTGGGATTATATGCAAATGCAGTGGTCGGGCTGTGAGCTGGCTGAAAGCTGGAGTCAGTTCAAAACAGTTCTGGAAGAGGGACACTCTGGCGAAGATGTAGAGTCCAAGTCTAGCTCTAGACATGGCCACCACTAAGCGACGAACATCCCTGTGGGAAAAAAAGAACAAAAAATAACACACTTCAAGAGTCACAGCATGTATGCTGCTTATTTTTTTGTGTATATTAGGGTTATTACTATATATCAGTAAGGTAGGACGCTACCAAATTACAAATGGGTATGAACTTATATGTTAATGATCCCACAACTATGAATATAACAAACTACCATGAAAAAAGCACAGGGTGGTAGCAGGAATGGGCGGGCTCCTTGGAACTCTGTCTTGAACACAAGGCCATGAGGACTATCACCTTCTCTCTTAGTCCCCAAAAGAGGGCTGCACAAGAAGAGCATTTAAACAACACAACCAGCACGGTCAAAACCCCAACAAGAAAATAACAGGAAAGTTACAGCCTCATTATTTCATTTGTATAAGTCATTTCTACTGATGCCCGCACTGTCCAAATCAGCCAAAGACAAGAATAATGAATGCTGGAAAAGGGACCAGAAACATCTCATTACTTGGGCTTCTAAACAGCTCCACATTGTCCTAAAACAGGTCCCTGGAACTAAAGCTGATAGCCTGGTCCCTAACTCACTCACTCAATTAGTCCACCCTGGATGAAAGAGGTGTGGGTAAAAGAAACATGGCAGGCACTATACTTCCAAACAGTTTTAGAAGAGGGATACTGGTGAGGACATAAAGTCTAAGTTTGGTTAAGACATGGCCAATTCCTTAAAAAAGTTAAATAAAGGGTTACCATATGGGCCAACAATTTCACATCCACACCCAAGAGAAAAAGCAAACAAATGTTCACATAAAAGCTTGTAATGAACATTCACAGCACCATAAATTTTATTTTTTTGGTATCGGGGATAGAACTCGGGACCTTGTGCTTTTGAGGCAGGCAGCGCCACCACTGAGCTAAATCCCTGCCCCAACCATTATTAATAATCACAAAGTGGGAAAAAACCAATATGAATCAACTGATGAATGAGTAAATAAAATGTGATATATATGTGACTGAATATTATTCAACAATAAAAACGAAGTACTGACACGTCCAACAATATCAATGAACTGTGAACACACTGAGTTAGTGAAAGAAGTCAGTATATAAAAAAAAGAAAACCACATATTATATGACCCTGTTTATATTAAGCATCCAGAACAGGCAAACCTAGAGACAGAAATTATAGTAGTAGATGCCAAGGACCAGGGCCCATTTACTACTAGTTATTGGGCTTCTTGCTGGGGCAATGAAAATGTTCTAAAATTGATTTTGGAAATAGTTGGATAATTCTGTGAATATACAAAAACCACTGAATTGTACACTTAAAATAGGCAAACTGTATAATACATAAATTATATCTTATTAAAGCTGTTCTTAAAAAATAAAATATGGCAGGAAGTAGGTTTCCTTGGTCCCCTAAAACACAAATATCGTCCTACTTATAAAAAGGAGGACATGAAAGATTAGGTCTATAAACTAACACATCCTATAAAAAGTCTGATAAGATTCTACCTAAGATACTTAAGACGAAGCTACTGGTAACTGGTAAGAATCATAACTCATAGGCAAATCAACATATCCCCTTTGTGTTCTAACATCATCACCACTATGACCCCCTGATGAAAAAGACAGACTTTGAAAAGGAAATTTTGGCAAGGATAAAGATTAATTTAGATAAAGTGGTTTTGCTTAGAAAATTTTGGCATGCAAAACAACAATGAAACCAGTGTCCTTTTTAATCCTTCGTATATATGCATTGTGTCATCTGTTTCTTTTTCTTAGAAAGTTTTCAGAAAAATGAAGAATAGCATAGAATTAAAATCAGTGAAAAAGGCAGAGTAGTGTAGAATAAGAAAAAAGAGGAAATAGTATTCATATATGTATGATGTAAGCTTTTCAGAGATTTTAATTATATCAGTAAGCCATAATGATGGTCTATTCAGGTAGGAGTTATGTCACCAAGGAAAAGAAACTGTTTTTTAGAAAAGACTTTAAATACAAGCTTGACATTTCAATAAATGAGGCAGAAATAAACTATTTTATAATGCTATCACCTTGAGACAATCTAAAAAATTATTATACTTCTGCTTACTCTTGCATAAAGTTACCAGTCTAATGGAATTTGATCAGTGAGTTAAGCTTCAAATAGATCTTGACTTAATGACAACACTGGAAGCTTGGAGAATTTTCTTCTTATAGCCACCAAATAAAACAATACAGTGAACTCTCCATATAGCTAGTAAGTCTTATGAGATGAAGGTTTATATAAAAATAAATCACTGCTTTGTAATAGGAAGATATTATTCCTGTAAATCTCTAACACCATAATAAATGATAAAAATAGATTATTGTTTGTTTTGACAATTCTTAATCCTGAGAGAACAAATGGGTCCGTTATCCCCTAACGCTGAAGCTGAAAGATTGTACGCAGAGAAAAATCAGAAACCCTATGCAATGAAAAATTTACTTTGAAGAGACTTTTTACCACTTTACCTCTTCTAATTTCTTAGTTTCTAACAGATATAGGATAGATTTGTTACAATTTTATGGTAAAATGTTATCTCTGAATGTAACTAAAGAGTAAAAAGAGTTAAAATTGCAAGAGTAAAAAATTCAGTAGTGACAGTATTGGTGAATGACCCAAAAAATCTCATGATACACTCTAACACAGTGTTACAAGTTGCTGTAACATTTAACAATTATAAATATTAAATTTCAAAATTATAGAGCTACTTTGCCACTAAAGTTCAAAATTAAAACAGATAATAAAGTTCAATAATACTATGAAAGTTTCTTCCTACATACCTCAAATGGCCCACTGCCCTTGTTCGTACTAGTGAAAGAAGAATATAATCATTCTGCTGACCTTGAAATCTATCAACAGTTGTCACCTAGGAAGAAAAAATGGGGAATATGGTATATTTTCAAAAGCATAATAAAAGACTCTAGATAATAATATACTAGAAATAAGCATCTTACCCTTAAAATAATCAAGCTCAAAAGAAACATATGTTCAGAACTGCAAGAACAAGTTAATCAACATCATTAAATACACCACTGCAACCAAATTAGGGCTGTGCCCTTATGCTATTCACATTTATAACACTTGTCTTTGCCTTTGCTAATTGCTAAAAATAACTGTATTTGGAGTTCACAGTTTCTCCCAATAGACAAGCTTTATGAAAGCAGGGACTATGTCTAGCTCATTAAATGGTATCCCAGTTTAATGCTCAGAAACATAACTTACCATGCTCATTTATTATTTAACATATATCCCTGGCATTTGTACATGGTTTTCCTTTGCCAAAGAATAACAATAGTCTTCAAAGTACTTTTTATTATGTTTGAAAATTTATGTACATACAGGAAGGTTTTAGTCACTAATATTGGCAGTGAAGCATTTAACCCTAATTAACCATAAAATTATTTATCCCATACAAATGATAATTTATGTTTCTTCTACTTTTAAGAAGTTTATAACACTTCATTTTAAGTCAATTTCACAGAGGTGTTATTTATTTACAATCAAATGTGATTTTTAAATGTGCAGTCTGATGAATTTTGACAATGTATACTTCCGTGTAAACACCACTACAATAAAAATTTCCATTACCTCAGGCTCTTTTGTGGTCAACACTGAATTCTCCCAGCTTCAGGCCACCACTAATCTACTTTCACTATAGATTATACAGGTCTAGAATACCATAAAAGCAAAATCCTGAAGTAGAGACTCTTATGTCTGGTTTCTGTCACTCACTATAACGTTGCAGAGAGTTGTCTGTAAGTTGTGCACACTAGATTTTCTACTCAATGAATAGACCACAATTTGTTTATCCAATCACTGGCTCATGGACATGTGTGTTGTTTCTAGTTTGGGGCTATTCTGAATAAAAATGCATTGAATATTCAAGGACAAATATTTTTGTAGGCATATGTTTTCATTGCTTGTGGATATACGTAGGAGTGACATTACTGGGCTGAATGGTAACTGCATGCCTAACTTGGCAAGAAACTGTCAAAATGTTTTCCAAAGTTGCAGTAACACATCACATACCCACGAGTGCTGTTCCAGTCCCTGAGTTCCAGTTGCTCCACATCCTTGCTGACACTTGGTATACTCTCAATCTTAATCACTTAACTCATTCTATTGGATGTGTAGTAATATCTTGTCATGATAAAAGTTTTTGGTGAGTCTTACTGGCTCTTTGTAAGTCTTTTTGAATGAAGTGTCTGTTCAATTCACTTGCTCACTTAGTACTGAGCTGTCTTATTTCACAGGAGTTCATATATTCTGAAATTCATATACTCTGAAGGTGAGTCCAGTATTGTTACATGTGGATGCTATACTTGGAAATGCTGTTGCCATCCTGAACACACAGAGAGCTTGTCTATAAGCTGGGCTCATACACTGAGAATGGCAGAACAGAATCTTGATGCTTGAAAACGTCATTAAGCCACCCTACAACTCAACCTTGGAACCATCCTACTTAGATCTTCTAGTTCTAAGACAGCAACTTGAGGTCTTCCTAAACCTTCTGTTTCAGTTACTAGTTTCTCATTTTCACTCTATATTCCTTATGGAGAACAATATGGTGTTTATTCCTCTTTGTATTCTTCTGCATTCTCCTTTCATTCCCATGGTTTTATTTCTTCCCAGTTCACATTTCATCTCCCTCAGAATTTTTGCAAACCTCTGCTTTATAGCTTTTCCTATGAAATGGTTACTTCATTGAGTATTTCTGGCTGGTCCATGGAGTGGTGTTTACAACTAATTGATCACCTTATTGAGTATTTTTAAATTAATAGCAAAATATGTATTCAAATTTTTATCTGTTCCAAGTCAACCTGCTTTCTAGAGGGTATCTTTTTTTTCTCGATGGCTTTTTAAAATTTTTCTTTTCTTTGCTTTTTTGAGTTGGGGTCTCTACATGTTGCTCACATTGACCTCCTACTCTTGCATGCAAGTGATCCTCCGCTTCAACCTCCTGAGAAGCTGGGACTACAGTTATACACACAGCCTACCTTGACCATGAACTGATATTCTTTTCCTCATGTTTCCCTATATATACAATGGGTTTGTGCTAGTTGCTTTTCCTATCCACTACTGAATAAGCAGAATTCTTAGATTAGCTATGTCCAAGAGGTTAAGCTGGGATGAATAGGGCCATTTTCTAAATACTGATGGTTTCTACAATAAAAGATTCTCTGCATCTGTACAGTCTACACTTTGAAAATATAGCTTACCTGTATGCTTATTTGAACAGATCTGGAGTGGCTTCTACTCTCACCCGAATTCCCACTCTCACCCCATTCCATTGTTGAAAAACGAGGATGTAACTCATATTTCTCATCTCGTCTCTCATCTTCAGAAAGTAATTTTGCTGCTTCTTTAGTACTGCTCCACTAAAATGTTTCTTTCTGATTTCAGTATCTCCCTAAAAGTGAAGTCTGTACCTTCCTCTCCTATTTATCCATTACTTTCAGATTATTGTCAAGAAAAGGTAAACATCTTTCACACAGCCATGTTGAAAATCAGAGTTCTAATTTTATAATTAACATTTCCCTCAATATAACTTTACAATCTTCAATATCCCTGAATATAACTTCCTCCACACACACAATAAAAAGTAGTCCAAACGAAACCTTTGCAAAACAAAACCTACAGTTCATTATTTCTGTAACAGCACATATATTATAACTTGCTATACATCATTTGTCAATAAAATGTTTTAGAAACATTTATTTCTGAATATTATCAACAAAAATCTTCAATGTGGTAGTTGAGATAGAAGTTCACTGCGAACCAGGGAAATGGCAGATATGATTGTCCACATTTATTTATAGTATTATTACTCTCTATCACATATTGTAAGGAGACAGCAATGAAACAAAGTGGAGCAATATAATTACCTTACTTGGCCTTCCAATCAGTGGATTATTCCCGCATCGTCTATTGATGATGTCACGGATAAGATGCTTTTGCCCATTGTATGTTGTTAGAATACTAATCTTGTCCGCAGGGTAACCAAGTAAGCACATGTACATAAAAAGTGCTACTACATACTCTGCCTCTCCAAGATTCTGTAATGCAAATATAATCACTTTTTCCTTTTGTTTCAACTTGATAGGGAAAACGGCTTATCCAATACAATTTGGTCACTTTGCACACCACAAACAGTTAACCTAGAAAACTGCATGCTTTTGATAAAACTGAGAGATAATCTCATCCTAGGTTAATATCAATAAATAAAAACTTTAACGTTTGCAATACATAGAAGAGTCATAACATAAAAGTTAACAACTTAAAGGGCTAATATTCCTGACAGAAGAACAAATATTACACAAATCAATATGACTCTGTACAGTGCACTGCAACTGTAGTTATAAAAAGAAATTTTAACATAAAGGAATGAAGTGACTTATCTAAGGAACCAGTGTAGAATCCATCTGACAGCATTATATATCCAGCAGAATTGTAACTGATTCTCAATTTTTAAAATTTTTATTTTATTTAATTTATTTTTTGGCTGTACTAGGGATCAAACCCAGGGGTGCTCTACTACAGAACTATATCACCAGACTTTTTTATTTTTTGAGACAGGGTCTTGTAAATTGCCCAGATTGGCCTTAAACTTTCAATCCACCTGCCTCAGCCTCCAGAGTAGCTAGAATTACAGGTGTGTGCCATTGTCCCAGGCTTTGATCTTCAATATCTGCACTGCTTTTCTATCTTCCTTATGATTTTGAATGTTTTCTGTGTTTTGGTTTTGTTCTCTTACTGATGGTTGCCACTTCTACTAAAGCAGAGAAGAGACTGTGGCCTCAGATTGCTCAGTCCAGTTACTGTTCAGAGGCTCTTTGTTAAAGTGAGTGGGAAGGAGCTTAAAACCAGGGCTTAACTGAACTTCAGAGTAAGGGATGAGACATAAAGCTCTTCAATTCAGTAGAGACTAAATTCAAAGTACTAGACGACAGAGGTTAGTAAAGTGAGAACACAGCTGCTATACAAAACTGGAAAAGAAAAAATTAAGATAAAAAGCTGGATTTCAGGCAAAGGCAATAGAAAAATTACTGGAAATCTTCAGAAATATTTATATTCTGGTTCTTGGTGACACATATTTTCATTTAAAGTTCTTTTTATCTAAAGTTTCTAATTCTTTAGAAGATGAGAGAGAAAGGAAGCCATGTGACTAGATCTTTCCATTTTCTATATTGAAGGCAAAATACATTTATCTAAGTATTGGCTCTAACACATATGAAAGAACAAACTGAAAATCACAGAAATGACCATAATAAAAGGTAGGGATGCAATTGAGTTTTCAAGACTTAGGTATTTTTGGCCAGATGAATTCAATGAGTTCTCAATAAACAAATGAACACTGCTCAATCTGGTGCTCTGTCCAAGTATTCACACTAATAATAAAACATGCACTTTATACACACACACGCTCACTCTCCTCCACTCCATCCCATGCCTGTGGTACTGGGGGCTGAACCCGAGACCTACACACTAAGCTGCATCCCCAGCCCTTTTTACTTTGAGACAGAGACTCACTAAGTTACCCAGGCTGGGCTCAAACTTGTGATCCTCCTGCCTCAGCCACTCAAGAGTGCTGGGTTATGAGTTAGTACCACCACGCATGGCTGATAAATTATACTTTAACAAATATTTTAAACTTAGGCCAAATAAATCAAGACCTGTTCAAATTAAGACTTTCATTCATTTATCTTCTCCGTCTGAAACAATTCTTCAGAGATAGCGCTTAAATGGAGTGTTCTTACTTTGGGGCATAAAAATACTCTTTGGAAATATATTTAATAGTAGCAATTATCATTAAAAAATATGTTTACTTCTTATAATTCTAACTCAACTAGAGTTAGGATTAGTGAATAAAAGCAGATAGTCAACCTGAGTAACAATGTTTTGTATTAATACTATTATATCGCTTCTCAGCTTTTGGCTAAGATCAAGCAAAGTATCAGATCTATACTATAGTACGGCTCAGGTAATGAAACTGTTCAAAAGGGAAATTCCAGAAACTAGTTTGTAAGGAAACACAGTAGGATTCTGAAAGAATCCTTAATCACTTTCAATGTGGCCATTAGGAATCATATAACTAACTTGAATTAGGTTTTAATGCTTTTAAAAGTTATCACTTGAAAGTCACATATGTTTCCAGACTGTAATTATGCAGTGATTTAATATAATTCAATATCTGGAGAGAAAAATATGAGCTATATCTACACATACACATTTAAGTCAGTGATACATGATGCTTTTTCATGTATGACTCAAGACTTTTTTTTCTTTTGGTACCGAGGATTGAACTCAGGACCTTGCGCTTGCGAGGCAGGCAGTGGAACCACTGAGCTAAATCCCTGGCCCCGACTCAAGACTTTTAATTTATACAACAATATATACTGAATATTTTCCTATAAGGATAAGAAAATAAGAAAAAAAAAATAACTCCAAATGCTACCATTCTAAGTAGTGTTCTGTTTTGGTATATATGCTTGAGATCTTTTTGTACAGATTATCTGTATATATTTCTTTATGTATGTTTTAATTTTTTAAATAAAATGAGATATCATAGATATACTTTCCAATTTGCTTTTTTTCTCATTTAATATAGCACACACAGTTTTCCTGTCAAGAAACAAAGTTATACTTTTATTATTCTTAGTGGGTACTCCATATTTCTTTTATATAAAATAGGTAATAATTTACTTAATCTATTGATAGTTAGACTGTTTCTGACTTCCAAAATAATTTGCAGTAATGACTGTTTTAGCGTATCAGTTTTTGCAAACTCAATTATTTGCTTAGAATAAATTCCTAGAAGTGAGGATACTGCTTTTAATATATACTACATTACACATTATTTTCCTACCAGCACTGTATGAGTATTAACTTTTCCCCAAGACTGCTACAACACTGAATATTGTCTGATCCAATACCTTATTACTATAAATCTCTTTTTTGTGAAGTGTATACTGTTTATTGCATTTAAAAAATTAAACATATACACATACATAATCCATATATACATATACAGCATATTCAGAATTCAACCCACTATTTATTAAATGTTAAAAATAAATTTTTTCTCAAGTCAGTATTTTTCTTCATAATTTGTGCTTTGGAAACATCCTTAGAAAAACTTTCCTCAAAACACATGATCATCAGTACTTCTAGTACTTTCTAGTATGTTTAATTTTTTTTCTTTAGTGTGTCCTTAAGGTATCTGAAATGGAATTTTTTGTATATGTGTTGTGTGTATGGTGGGGCTCTAAACTCTCTTTTTTTCAATGGTTAGCTAATGATTCACTATTGCTAAATTAGGTAGTATTTCAGCCAGGCAAACACACACAAAAAAACATAAAAGCTTCATGTTTTCTCTTACCTGATAAAAGTAAGGATTAGGTTCAGATTCTCCCACTCCCTGAAAATCTTCAACATTAATGAGCTGGAAGTCATACAGCAAGCCAGCATTTGCTGTACTGAACTCTGGCAAGAGCTGCACGTGGGGTAAGTTTCCAAGGTTCTTATACCGCCAGTTGTAGAGGTTACACAAGCTTCCCAAAGACAAATTCCCCCAGACAGGGGAGATTAGTAACATGAAATCCCTTTTAAAATATCTAAGGAGGTTTCTAAGGAATTGTGCTTACTTTAATTTTCATGACACCATTTTTGTTCACCCTTTTAGCAATGATGTCTTTTCAAATGTAGCCTTTTTACTTTAAGCAAACAAGAGTCAGGTGACTAAAGACATCACAAAAATGAGACCTCCATTGGACTGAGGCAAACGCTACTGTTACACTACAAATTACAAAATGACGAAAGACCTCTTAAACTGAGAACACTGGGAATAACTATGAAATGTCATTGGTACTCTTTATGAAGTAAGAAATGGTTTACTTTCTCTTGTTCACTTTTACTTTAGATTTCAAAATTATACTATCTTTTGGAGATATGAAGAAAGGGGAAAGTACAGTGAAGCCTACATAGGCTATATATCACTTAGTTTCAATTAATAAAATGAAAAAAAATAACTACCATGTTCCTGGATAACAAGAATATTACAACTTTACATAAAAGATGATTACAAATATTTGGATCATGGAACTGATGTCCTTAACAGAGGAGATATTTTTTCTCCTGTCTCTTTTACCTTGCTCTGGCTCTACCCTGAGCATCGAGATCCACAGTAGGAACGCCAACACGGACAAAGCGAGTGAAGAGAGACTGCTCCATGTTCGAATACTTCTGAAAGGCCATGTTCTTAATGACTGGTGGTAACTGGTGATGATCACCAATCATTATCCATCGCTTCAGCCGGCTAAATCCATCTTGAGGATTCTAGAAATGGAAAGTGAAAAAAATGGCAAAAAATGACAGTTAAATTATCCTGTTAGTTATCCAATTTACTATACAAAAGGCTTGTTCTTCATTAAACAGCTTCAGGTGCTTACAAATTCTCAACCTTTACCAGCTCCACACAGAAGACTGGCAAATTTTACAGGACAACTAGTAAATCAAGTATGGGTATCAACGCTCTGAGCTGACAGGGACAGGGAAGGGTGGAAGGATGGAGAAGGCAAGCATGCAATTACCCTGCTTTAACAGCCAGAGGAATCTAAGGAGGTCCTGAAGGTTCAGGACATTACATTACCCCAAGAGAGCATAGACAGAAACAGTTCCCCAGGAAGAGAAATGGAAAAAATGTCAAAGTGAACACCTTGCTCCACAATTATGCCAAGAACCAGTTCTGAACCTATGACAGTAAAAACTACCTTCTTCAATTTCCTCCAGTACTACTTCAGTTTTCTACTTTCCATGTCTCTCTGTCCCTTGAAATACATAAACTGTATTACAAGTTTCAAATAGCTTGGCATATAAAAACAACTTTGGTTAATTCAACGTAGCTGTAATTTGAAGCAGTCTCTAATCTTACACTGGGAATTCTACATTTTATTTTTAATAGCTTCCATAGTGACAAATATTGCACAGTAAAAAATACTCTTAAAATATCACTGCATGGGTCAACAACTTAGAAATAAAGCGATGCATTCAGACAATATCAGAAATAATTCTAGAAACAAGTCTAACAAAAGAAATGAAAAAATAACTGATTTTCCTTCCTAACTGAATAAAAATATAATTTTCTCGATTAAAATTACTGTCTTTTCAAAACTACTTTGTAGATATAAACACAAATTTTTAAAATACTAATCTTCAAAGCAATACAAACTACTCCATTCTCCCCGATTCCATTAGGGTTAGTGTACAGGCTTCAAAGAAAATGCCTGAGAAAATGAAGCTAAGGAGGATGTATAACTGTGACAAGTAGCACCCCTAGACTGCGTGGCTTTCCAGTGTCCCCCAAAATTCTTAAAAACTTTTTGTCTCAGATAAAATTTCTTACCTGTAGAAGGAGAGGAATAAAAGTTTCTATCTCCAGAATTTGAGCAGCCTCTTCCATTAAAATGTTGTCATACTGAAAAAGAGGAAAACTTGTCCAAAAAACCCGCACCATCATCATTAAAAAAAAAACCCTATTAATTTCAGATAAAAATAACAACATACAAATTATTCAGACGGTTTACGGTCTTATTTATCATTATGTCCTTGTATCTCCAATTCACATTTCTAACCTCAAGAAAGCTCCTCAAATATCTATCTATCTATCTATCTATCTATCTATCTATCTATCTATCTATATCCCATTGCAGACATCATGCAAATAATTTTCTTGGAATAAAGTATCTGTTTCTTTTCAATTTAGTTTTTTAGATTCTACATAAGCAAGAATCAATTTATAATATGTACAAGACCATTCCCACTGTTATTCTTGCCCTAGGTAGTATTTTGGGTTAGCTGCTTCCCCTGAGGAAATTTACCCATCACAGCAACCCATTTTTGTTTTACCCCTGGGCATCTCATCCTTTATCAAAGTATGTGAATTTTACCATCAAAACTCCCTTTGGAATCTATTCACTTTTCTCTCCTTCTGTCAGCTCTAGCACTCTGGTGGACCAAGCCACCACGATGACTGCTGCCAGTAACCTCCCTCTCAGTCTCTTCCCTTCCTGTCTTGCTTCTCTTAAGCCCCTGGCAACAGTCACAGGGTCACTCATAATAGTGGAATCAGGAAAAAAAAAATCCTTTAACATAGCCTGCTCAAGGGAGTGGGGGATTACCTATTTTATGTTAAGTAGATCTACAAGGTTTCTAATTCCTAAATTTGAAAAAGTTAAACCTTAAAAATATAAAAAATCCTACCATCATTCATATTATTCTCTTAAGAGAGTATAACATGATATTAAGTACAGAAAATGATTAATGGAAATGTGAGATGTATGCAACAAGCAGTACTTTCTAGAATTCATATGAAAAGTTGCATGAAAGTATAAAACGCTACTTATGATTGTAGTATTTCCCCTTGCTAGCAAACAGATATGATTTAATATTGAATTTAAAGTATATTTTATATGTGAATCCCAAGAACAAAATATTTAGGTGAAAAATTCTCACTAATAACCTGCAAAAGGGTAAGTTCACACCATTGGGATAAATTCACACTACCTTTTAATAAGTCATCCTATTTGTCCTACCTTGCAGCTAAGGAACCTTTTATCCAAGGTAACAACAATTCTAACACCTTGAATTTATTTAGCGCTATCTTTCCATGAGCTCATACATCTTAAAATTATCACTTTTATCAGCAAACGAGCTACTAACTTTAAAATTCAGACCAGTACACAAAACCTATTTTAAACAACAAATAGTTGCAGAAAAGTGACTTGTATTAAAACCAGAACTTAGGTCAGTATCACTAACAAAGTTACAGTGAATCTACAAATTAAAGTTACTCCTCAATCATTACATTCTATTTCAACTGAGTCACAGGCTAACAGCTGTCATGCCCTCCTTCTGTCTTTATTGCATGACAAAATTATTTTAATATTCATTTTACAGATTAAATATGGGAACAGTACACACATATAGATATCTCAGACCAAAACTATTGTGAAATATTGTGTTTGCAGCTTTTAGTTCTGTTTAGAGATTTTTAACAAGTGACGCTTGGTAAAAATAAAACCTTTACAAATATGAGAAACTGGTTAAACAATCATGATTTAATGACTTATTTCTACAGACTTAGAATAATTAGATTTAAGTTCACTGTTCATACAAACGTGATATTATTATTCATTTTTAAGAGAAACATTTTAAAGTAATTAGAAACGAGGACTTTTATAAAGAGTGAGCCAACCTCCAAGGGAAAGTGAGTCAGTGATCAAAGAAAAAAAGGAAAGAAACAAAATTTATAACTGAATAATGAATTAAAGAACTAAAATATGTAAGTCTATACCTTGAAACCTAACTTGACCAAGTCATGTCGTTTTAAGGCAGCATGAGTACAGGTCATAGCAATGATCTTAGCTTCTTTCACCAGAAGATATTTAGATCGGTCCAGTCCACTTCGAAGTAGTTCAGAGGCTCTGAATTCCTTTAAGAGTGGGGAGGATGTCAGTGAAAGACCACCTCAGGATAATACACATAGTTTATGCGTATAACCAATCAGACTTAATTCCTCAGAAATTAATATACCCAAACTAAGCCTAATTAACCACAATTTTATTATAATTCAGATACCAGTTGACTTCAAAATAACAGCTGATAGTCAAGCCACAATTTGGAGTCATTTTTGTGAAGGTTAAGTATTTATGGGTTTTTTAATAGTTTTTAGTTCTGTTTAAGAGATTTATGATATAAACAAGAATAGTGCGTAAAATATCAATGACCATTGTACCTGCATTACTAAAAGTTCTTCCTGGAAAATAAAATCCACTTCAAATATTCATATTGAAGGGAGCAAGGGACTGGTAAAACAGGTGACGGCTGAGCTGAGAAGCCAGCCAGGGAATGCAGTAACCCAGACGCGGTCAGCAGCAGAAGACAGCACCCCCTGGACTATGAAGAATGAGGGGCTGAAAGGTGTTATTAGAGCCAAGGGATGAGGGTTGTAAGACCAGCTGGAGCCACAGCAGCGCAGGCCGGCCAAAGCTGGAGTAGTGGAAGAAATGAAACTCAAGGCAGAGCAAACTGAAGGAAAAAACTCCAGCCTCTCTCTTCTCTCAGCCCAACATCTCTCAGGATGTGGCTAAATCCAGCCAGGAGACAGCGAAAATGGAAAGTCAAGCCATTAAACCTGCAAGGGTCAGCCTGAACCTAACCATGGCAGAACTTCCCCTAAAGAACAGACCAGAAGATGGAAAACAGATGTGAGTAGGGGCAAACAGGCCCAGGCAGAGTACACGATAGTCAATTTTATCAAATCTGAACATTATCCGTACTTATCTCACACCTTAACATTTATGTTTTGTTTCTTAAAATAATTTAAACATTACTGATGCAGGCAAGGTATCCTATATCCTTTCCCTCACTCACAAGGCTGCTATTATCATGTAGTGAGTATGTTTTATTTTTTTCCTTTGTGTTGATGTAATCATAAACATAGTAAAATATTGTTTCTCAGGCTTAATTACGTTATCATACTTTGTCGTTATTATTCTACTCATCCATCCATCTACCCATAATATGCATTACTACTTATTGAACATCTATTATGTGTTCTAGGAAGTGAGGGAAGAATTGTATCTAAAAGATATAAAGACAAAACCTAAGTCTGTGCCTTTTTTTTTAACCTGGAATGATACTAAACCTTCTTACTGAATGTGACTCCTTTATAGGACTGCTGCAGTCTTCCAGTGTCTGCTGCAAGGCACACAAAACTAGGAGACACCGAAGGGGTTGTTGGGTTCTCTGTCTTGTCTGTGTAGTGGGTAATTCCTTGGGATCTTTCCTCCTGGCTAACACAGAAACCTAAGAATGCCTGTGTGGCATTCTCAAATTTCTATTCAAAGAACTACAGTATTGTTACATTTCATGATAGAAGCACTGCTTTCTTAAACACTAAGACCTGTACAACAGAAAAATCAGAACATTGGGGATACAATTCATCTTAAGTTTCGCTTATCTCTTGAACCAAAGCTGTAAATGTTTTCAAAAATTTCATTTAAAAGTAACAATCTGATTTATAACATGAATATTCTACATTTATTTCATTTTAAAAAGAGGATCCTAACCTAACAATCTTTAAAGGAAAATTAAAAGAACTAGAGGTTACCTCAAGCTGAGTAAAGATTTTCTTAATATGCCTAAAACATCCTTCAGCAATTTCCATGTCTTCTTCATATGATCTGCCTTTAAAAATGGGCTGAGGAGCATTTGCAAAATATTCATGGAAAGGGAAGAAAGTGGAGATTTCTGTAACATCTAGCGACGTACTTCCTTTATTTTTCACTTTGCTGATATATTCTTCCCAACGAGACATCACCTGTAGAAAAAAGAATTTGAGGTTTACTTTGTCATCTAATTATGTTTTAAATAATAAAATTAAAAATAAATCTAGGGAAAATAAGATCTGCTGGGTAAATGAAGAGGAAAGCCAATATTTGACCCACTATAACCGTTTCTCATCCCAAGTTATGACAGATTATACTTCTTGTAAAAAATTAATCTTAGCACCTGATGGGGGGAAGGGAGCTCTTTAAGAAAAGTAGAAACTGGTAAGAACCTCAAGATCATCTCATGGAACTCTACCTCAGATATTTTAGATTCTCTGTGTATATTCAAGACAGTTTATAAATGTAGAGAACAGAAGACAATAGAAAACTCTGGACAAAGAAAATTCTCATTTTTTGCATCATTGGCCTCTCCACATACGACAAGCTCAGCTTTAACAGCATTTTAATCAATCTGGCATTTGTCAACTCTTCTCCTAAACTTTTGTATATATTTTTTTCAAATCTCTTTAGAACATTTATAACAAAGTTCTGGCTGAGTATGTATCTATTTGAGAGCTCACCTTATGGCTTCAGCAATACAGTTCAATTACGAGTTTGATAATGCTAGCTATACCTCCACTGGCCAGTTCTTGCTAAACTTCAATTTTTAAAATTCTCCCAGGTTTTTTCTGTTATAATTTCAGTGTTTTCCAAAGTGTAGTCCTTAGGTAGGCAGAATATGTGAGGAGTTAAATAAAAATGTGTAAATCTTAGATCACACTCCTCTTGAATGAGACTTTTAGGACAGGGCTTGGGAATTTGAACTTGTGAAAAACTTTCCTAGTGATGATTCTTGTATGTTGAAAATTGCGGTGAAGCTTCAAGTTCTCGTTTTCCAAATTTATTACATGAACCTCCACAATTTATAGATCATGTCTCCTACTTTTAAAAGTAATTTTTACAGAGAGATGGGTAATTTTTTTCTGTCAAACAGGTATATAAGCAAAATCTCAACAACATTATCCAAAGTTCTGAACAGTCTGAGACTAATTAGACAACTTTACAAGACAATATATGTCTTGCTTGCTTCTCAGGAAACCATGAAATCTGCTCATTTTGAATACACTCAACTGGTTTATGTATCTACTTGTAAAGAGCATAAGCCCATTCTTTCATATAGGTTTAAAATTTTAATGTTATAGTTTATATCTAAAATGCACAAATAGCAGTATGAAAATAGTTTATAAAATCTTCATTATTTGATTACATCTAATCCATTAAAATTATTAGTCATCCAACTATTAAAGTTTACCATTTTACTGAACTTTTTATTTCTCATTGGTTTTTATACCTCAGAAATTAACTTTAACAAAAGCAAACTTTTAATTCAACAGAAATTTTTAAGTTTCTGCACAATTATTTCTAAGACTTAATTTATTTTTGGAGCCTTAAAAAGAGTATGCTTTTCTTCATTAGCTGATTAATGATATAATAAAATTATAGACTTCCACTCTGTTACCCCTCAGTAGCTAGAAAATTTAGTTATATTTCTCCAGTAATGGGGAGAGAGAGAGAAAGAGAGGGAGGGCGGGAAAGAGAGAGACTGAAATTAAAAAATCATTTAAAATGTAGCAACATTGGCCTTTCTCTGAATGAGTCATCAACCAAATTTAGAAAAGAAAATTGAATATTATAAAAAATACACTTAACATTCATAAATATAGCTTTGGTAATGCCATATATTTTAATTTACTAAAAAAAATATAAGCTTTCAAGAAGAATCTCAAGAACACATCCCAGTTTCTAACTGGGGACCATATTATAATGCAGTAGGATTTAAAAATCCTTGATGTCTTACCTGATATAAGAAGAAATAGCCTGCAGTTTCACAGGTGTATGAGGCATCTCCTGGAACACCTAGGCTCTTCTGCAATCGTTTGACTTCTTCTAGAAGTTCTATTCTTCGAGCCAAGACATAATTAACTCTTCCATACCTAGAAATTTCAGTTAGGTAAAAAGGAAAAACTGTGCAATGAAGAGACTTTGAAGGAAACTGTCAGTTAAATTTAAAACAAACAACTTGTAATAGATACTATAAGTAGCCGAAGAGGTGGAGAACAGCAGAAATAATTTGCACTCAATTATAGTTGGGTGCTCTTGGGTTACTTTAAGCCAAAGTTACTTAAAGTGTACTCTAAGGTCCAGGGCATATCTGCAAATGTGTTACTCATCTGTGTGGGGGAAAAATCAATTATTTCAGCTATCTTTTGTTTCCCTTATAACAAAACCTGCACAAAGAAGGAAGGAGGATAGCACATTCTGGTGGTAGATCAGGAAGAGACTAAGAGTATATAGTTCACAGATTGGCTGCTTTTGAACAGCATGGTTTGCACTATCATAAAACTAGATTACATTATTTCTTAAGGCTTTGAAAATTACTTGAAAATGTATTTGATCATTCTCTGTCGTCTACATATCCTAGCATGTAGCTTGGACCCAAACCAAGCAGGTTCCTATATATTTGCTAAATAAGACTGAAAACAGAAGCAGAAGTCTGGGGACTATCTTGTCCAAAGATACATAATTAGGAGAGAAAATTGATCCCAAATTGGAGCCAGAATTAGATCCCAAAGTACAGATTTTTCCACAACAACTAAGTGGCTCCTATAACTCTTCATTGGTTGAAACAAGATTAAACAGTCTAACCACTGCTATTCACATTTTAAATATAAAATAAAGGAATAAGTCATATTCTGAGCGACCACATAGTTCAGAGGCAGCAAGGTATAATTGAGAGTAAAAGAACATACAAGATATGGCCTACACTTTGAAGAATTTTTCACCCTATAGCAGGATATACAAGTAAACAGGTTACTTTTTTGTTTGCTTATCTATAAATTATTTTCTACAATGAACACTTTGATAATGAATTGGGAATGCTGACAGAGTATGTAATAAAATGCCAAAATTCTTATGATAAAACAGGATAATTTTCTTCACAGAAGTAACTGCACGCTTGAGGGAAACACTGCATGAACACAGAAAACGAAAGCTGAGAGAGATCATGACCAGACTTTTAAGTCAACCTATGGTCTAAGTAAGTTACACAAGAGCATTTTAGAATAAAGTTTGGTTATTCATAGCTCTCTTTGCTTGGTATTTCTTCAGTAAAGGAAGACAAAAATTTTTTTGCATTATTTTAAAACACTTCCTTTTGCTCACCTGCTGAAATCTTTCTCTGTCTCTAGTTCTTCTTCTCCATGACCAAGTCGTAGCAAGTGACGCTCGTCAATGTCTAAAGCCATGATTTTCTCAAACAACTGGTTCAGGGCCTGGAGAATAAAGTAAAAAGGTGGATGGTGAGTTTCAAAGACTCAGTGTGTCCCTCTAAAAATAACAAAAACTAATACTCAAAAGGACAGAGTACTGACCAACTGGACAAGAAGGAAACAGGTCCTACATTAAATCCCTTATAATTTAAACAAAATAGTACTTTTGATTTGCCATGTATTTACACTTGGCCAAATGAATAATTAGAAACTGTAAAAACCATGTATTCATTAAACCTCTGACTCTAAGGCACTGGCTCAGGTGTGATCTCCAAGTTGTAACATTTCCTAAAATGATTAATAAATTGAGTTTCATTTCACTCAACAGCATTTCCAGGAATTGCAGACAACTGAAAAAGTTTTTGGAGCTGAGGAAAATTGGTAAAATGCACCAAGTGGACCAGAGAAAGGTGATGTGCATTATTTAAACCTTAGGTTTCAAGTCTAATAATGAGCAAGCCACTCATTTATGCAGAAGTCACTTCTTTCTACCTACAAATGCCCATAGTTAGATTTCTTCAAATCCTAGTATTCATTCACCTGCAGAAAGGCAGTTTCATAGGATGGAATGGTGCATAAATAAAAATGTCATTTAAAAAACTAGCCCCCTTGGGCTTGGGATTTAGTTCAGTGGTTTCGCTACCTGCTGCGCAAGTACAAGGACCTGAGTTCGATTCCTGGTACCAAAAACAAAAAACAAAAAACTAGCCCCCTTCAAAAATCTCTTTTCATTTATCACTAATCTAACTGCCCATTTTTATTTTTATCCATTTTTATAAACTCTATAGTGTAAACACAGACATCTTCTGCTATTAAAATTCTAGCGTGGTTCAGAAACTGAAGAGATTAACATACATTTTCAGAAAAATTTCCCACTATCCTAATTTCTGATACTCTTTATGCAAAACTCAAGACCCAGCAGATGAGACAATGTAGAATTACTGGTTATGCCAACTCAAGAACCACACTGATTTAGAAAGCAAAACACTCACAAGTTACAATTATGGGAAAACTACAAGATTTCATTGTGAATTAGAATAATATTGGAGGAGTACTTGAATTATACGGGTAAATGAAGATCTGGCAAACAAAATAAGTAACAACTCAAGAAAAAAAAAAATCAGTAATTTGATGGACCTCAAGGGTGATTTGAATTTCAAAGGATCAAGTCAGCCATAAGTAGAGGATACCATAGCAACTCATATCAAAGCATGACAAAACTTTGTAAAAAAAATACTATGTTAAAACAACATATCACATATTCTTTATTCACTCTAAATTTACATATACATATGGTTACTACAGAATGAATTCTTTCAATAGAAGAAAAAATTCACTTTCATAATATTTTATTTCTTCTATCAAGATGAAGTCCAAACCAATTTACTTACAACTTCCAAAAATATTATAAAAACATTATAGCTGAATGATACTGGATAACATCAGTTAAATAAATAAGATAAATATTGTAAATTAGATGAACAACAGACTAACTGACATTCCCAAAACTCTGTATTTCTTTGTAGACCAAACCAACTAAAGACAGGTCAACTAAAGTCACCATTAACACAGATCTGAGAAAATAAACACAGTGGGAGGTTTGAAATGCCACACAAGTTTCAGTGCTTTATAGTCTGCTAAGAGCTGCCTGTCAAAGTATTTTACAAAATATTTTACTACAGAGCTAATAAATATTACATTTTTGTTCATTTCTGACAGCTTTGGAGGGACTAACATAGCACACATTGTCTTTCAATGTAACAGAGTGTATTCATATACACACCTCACAAGGATTTTAAATTCAATCTAGTATCAATAGACCTTAGTCTTTTAGGAATATTCATTCCACTAAATGAAGAAAAATACTACTGGTAAGCACTGGTTAATTCTCTCAGTCCCAAAGCAAAAGCTCTGGCATGTATACATACACCCACACACTGTCATTTACCTGATTGGAATGAGTAACAATAAGAGTCCTCTGTTCTGGGAAATTGTGGTAGATGTTGGAAATGATTTGGACTGCCACATCTGTTTTTCCTGTACCAGGTGGGCCCACAACCTAAAAAAATTATGAACATTTTTTTCTTTTCTCTTAATTTTTCCTTTCCCTTCTTTCCTTAATCTATGTAAATAGGAAAGGGCACACAGGTAATGGGGAAAAAATAAGAACCAAGATACATCATATACAGGTACAAGCAGCCAATGATAAATGTAAACGTATTGTATACCTAAAATGTACCAATAAAAGAATTTAAGCAAAAATAAATAAAGCCAGTCTGAGATATTAAAAAAAATTATGAACACATATCCAACACTAAGTTATCACATTACTAGAAAATGGAAATTCTAGAACTGAAAGACAAAGTAGCAAAAAAATTCACTGGATGGGCTCAACAACATAGTAGATAGGACATAGAAAGAGTCAATAAGCTTAAAGATAGATCAACATAAATTATCTAATGTAAAAAAGAAAAAAAAAAAGATTGGAAAACTTAAGACTCCTCAATCTGAGACAATACCAAAAAGTCTAACATTCATGACACCTAATTCCTAAAAGAAAAATGTGTAGATTATAGAAAAAAATATTTGGAGAAATAATGGCTGCAATAATAGGCCCAAGAATATGCTGTTTACATGAAAATCACTTCAAATAAAATAATAGGTGGAAGTAAAACAATGAAAAAGAAATCATGCAAACACTAATCAAAAGAAAGGTACAGTGCCATATTAATAACAAAGCAAACTGCAGAGTAAAGAAAGTTGCCAGTGATGGAGACGTTATATAATAATAAGAGACCATTCATCAAGAGGACACAACACTAAAGGTACACACACCCATCAACAAAAGCTTTAAAATATATGAAGCAAAGGTTAACAGAAATGAAAGGTGGAACAGATAATATCAATACTCTCCTCTCAATAATCAACAGAAATTACTGTTTCAGTAGATGAAACATCAGCAAGGATAGAAAAGAACTGAACAACACCATCAACTAAATGAATCTAATTGACAGTTATTGTTCAGTCCATCCTCCAAATGAAAAAGTTTTGTAAATGAATATGGAATAGACATCAAAAAAGATCATATCCTGGCCCATTAGACAAATCTTAAAAAAGCAGAAAATAAAAGACTGACATCATACAAAGTATGTTCTCTGAAAATAACAGACTTAAACCAGAAATAAACAAATGGAAGATAATAAGAAAATCTCTAATATTTGGAAATTAAACATACTTCTAAATCACTGTCAGTAGATTTTTTTTTTTCTGTAAAGGGCAAGAGAATAAACACTGAGATTTGCAGGCTACTTATCTCTGCAGTTGTCAAAAGTGACCACAGACAATATAAAAAAAGACTCTAATAAAACTTTATGTAGGAACACTAAAAGGAGCAGCATGACTTCCATATGTATAAGATCCTATAAATACTGTACTTTTAGGGCCGGGGATTTAGCTCAGTGGTGCTGCCACCTGCCTCGCAAGCGCAAGGTCCTGAGTTCAATCCCTGGTACCAAAAAAAAAAAAATACCGTACTTATAAATACCTAAATTCAGTAGAGTTTTTGTGCTTCAAATACGCTAAAAATCTTGTGCCTACTTCTACTTTTCACCCATGTAACAACAACTGTAACAGTGACTGTCTTACCATAGTGAGCCCTGGCTGCATCCCAGCACGGATGGCTTCTATTTGTGTGTGAGTGAACTGAATTGTATTACTGGAAATAAAAGAATAAAAAGTTGGTTAGAAATACAGATAAATCACATTTAATACAAATTTGGACAACGATGACCAGAGGTCTAAACATCTCTTTTGCACTTGCCCTTTTTCTCTCTCTTGTGGATGTATCTATCTTTATTCTGCATTTCCCCATACAGGCAACTGAACAGAATAAATCTCACTTAAGTACCACTTATTTAATATAGCTCGCCCATTCTAGACCTCATTTGTCTTTCCAAAGTTCTAGCTCCCATACACAATGCCACATCGTTAGTTGTGGCACACGTGCATGAGGATGACTGCTATATAAAACACAGGGTCATGAAGTAAGAACTCTGCTCAGAGTAAGGTAGCCCTGTAAAAATTCTCTCTTAGTACCTAACAATTTTTCTTTCTGAAATATCACAAGTACAGAATGGTCTAACATGTCTGAGTTATTCAGTTGAAAGAATCAAAAGGACAGACACAGGGTTCAGAAATAAAAAGTATCCTTCGGTTCTAAAATGATTAGAAAATTAAAAAACCTCACTAACCTGTTTGAAATAGTAAATTTATAACTAGAAGAAGTAGTCAATTACCGTTTGGGTTGGTTGTAAGGGTAAGGACCCCTATTAGGAATAACATGAGGTTCAACAATTAAAGTTCTTGCCTCTTCAGTGTCGTCATCTTCCCCATCTGCATCTTTTCTTTTCTTTCCCTTTCCACTTCTTATCGGAAAAGTAATCCTACAAGACCAAAATTTTTCTTTTAACAATTAGGAAGGATTTACTAAGTTGAGTCTCTGGTACATGACACTGTATGGGAAATGATCAGATGAAAAACATTTTGACTGAAGGCAGTTCACAATATATGAACTCTGGAGAAAAAAAAAAACAGATTTATAAGTGCTAAAATGGCTTTTTAAAAATCTTCGGATTAGGAAAAAAAATCATCCAATTAATGGGAGCATCAAAGTAAAATATCTGCATCATATGCACGGAAAAGTACTTTATTCCTGACTTTCTTTCATCATAAAAGACTTCACAGCTTTGTGGCAGGTAAGAAGAGTCTCAGAGAACTGAGATATTCAAGGGTGGGAAAGGACAACATCCCTGGAAAAGAGTGACAGAAGAGGCCTGGTACACACACTCTAGGCAGGCAGGGCTTGTCACAGCACCTCTGGAACATCAAGCTTTTACCACAGAGGTTTCCCGCCTGGAGTTTGAAGGCAACTCTCTATAGACACCTGAGGAGAATTAATGAATTTCCTAAAACTTAACTAAAAACATTAATCCTCTAAGTATACTTTTAATTGTTTTCCTACGCACTCTTAAACCATAGAGAGTACCCAAAACTGCTAAGAACTAAAGAGGTTAAGAGGTCAGTCTTCCTTGGTAAGCATTAAGAACAATCAGCTTTCTTTAGCTAGGGAGTGAATGGCTGTAGCAGTAGCATACATACCAGTTCAAGTGAAGGGAGAGAGGCAGGAAAGATACTGCTATCATACAGACATGGGTGCCCATAGACACAGTAGTCAGGAATGACATAGGAGAAATCTATACTTTAGGCAAATTCTACACTAAATGCCAGAAGTTATGCGAGTAAGCATATCCAAAAATTATGTTGGTGTTTCAAAATAAGGCACAAGAAAAATGATTTTACCAGCAACAGAATTAGAAAAATATGAAAGACACTAGGTTTGCATGTTATAAAGGATACATTTTTTGATATATTATTATATTTATATTTAACTATCAGTGGAAGATTTGTGTTCTAATTTCCAGTAAGAATGCAAGCATTAAGGCTACCACCCATAGGTAGCAGAGTGCTTTAACTCCAATCATTATGAAGGAATTCAGGGAACAGCAACTAATTACTTCAGGTACTTCATTCTACTTGTACTCAATTTTTCAAACCAAAGCTCATCCAACATTAGAATACCCACATTTTAAACAGAGGTTAAGTATTCCTAATCTGAAAATCCAAATGCCTCCATATCTGAAATAATTTTGAACACTGAGGTGACACTTAAAAAGTTTTGGGTTTTGGAGTATTTTGGACTTTAGGATAAGGAAGGCTCAACTCTGAATGCTCAAAGTCTAAGCAAATAATTTTAAAACCTGAAAAACTCAAACATCTAAAATATTTCTAGTCCCAAGCATTTTAAATAAGGATTACTCAACCTGCATTTAAAATCTTGAAACACACACAAGGTTAAAAGAAAAAAAAGAATTTTTTCTCAACATCATAATAAAGTTCAACAACACATGGTTGTGTGTATTAATTAGGAAATATATCAGACTATGTATGAGATAAATGCAAAGAAATATTCCTTCAGTCAAATACTATATTTATACAGCTCTCTTCAGACAACACTCATTTACTGGTTCCTTGTAAGACATTAAGTTACTTTTCGTATGGCCTTAAAATACCTTCTGCACTATGAGTTAGAAATAGATTCAAATATAACAAACTTATCCCAGTGATTATATGGTGAAGACAAGGACTGCCAAAACAAAATCCAGACATAATACTCAAGGCACTTTAATCAGCCATGCTGGCGGCCTACCACAGACAGACTATAGAAAGCCCGAAAAGAGCACATCCAGGTCCGACTTTACCTGAAAGGAGGTATCTGCAGAGCTGGGTCATCCACAGTTACTTTAACATTATGGCCAGGAAAGCTGGCCTTTAAATGCTCAATGGAGAGAAATGTATCATTGAAATCAAGGGTGGTGATCTGATTGGGCATTTTTGAATAATGGGCACTGCTTGGGTCTCCATAACCTAAAATGATATCATGCAGCCAGTCAGGTACCACACAATCAGTATTCATCAGGTTCCGAATAGTCTCCAGCACAGCCTGGCAGTAAAAAGACAGAAAAGTATTGTGTCAGAAGACATCTCAAACATTTGCACTTTATTGGAATGCAGAGTTGGCTGGACTAATCCAGAATTCCCAAGTGTTTCAGGGCAAGAAGCTATTTTCTGCTGACAGGTGCTTGGCTAGACTGATTCAACAGCTATATTTTCAGCTGATACCATACACTGAGTTAAACAAAAGACCAAACTTAGCAAGAACAGTTTATCCATTAAGAGTTCATTTGGAGAGAATGACATAAATGAGGTTACCACTTGACTGCATCTGAGTAGGATGAAAATCAGACTCATGTCAACCCAACAACAAGGAAACATTATAGAACAAGTCCTTAAAGAAAAATGGTCTTAGGAACTACTACTGAAGCACATTAATGTTTCTCAATTGTGAAACTTTCAAAATTTAGAAATACTAAAATCAGCTTAAGTAAAAAATAAATGAATAAATAAAATGAAAGGGATAAAAAGTCAAACTTTCAGAATGAAAAAATTACTCAAGACTATAATAAAAGTTACTTAAAGTACTTAATATATATACTGTGAAAAAGAATTATCAAAAGCTGAGACAAATTCTTAAGACTGTCAAAAATCATTTCAATCCAAGATACGAAAATTAGGAGGCAAGGATATTAACTTCAAAGAATAAAATAACCAGTTTTTAAAAAATCATAAATGCTATACAATCCAATTTTGAAAAAGCATAGGACAGTATATGTTAATCACATGCACTACTGGGGAGCTTTTAACATTAGGCAAGTTTTCACGAGCGAAAGTGGTACTTTGATTTAGCTAAATAATTTCTGGAGAGCTGTGATTTCATCATCAATGGAAAGCCACAGAAATGTTCTGAGAAGCAGAGTGCAATGATCAGTGGTATACAGGGGGAAGAAAGGTATGAAAAACAGGGAACTGAGTAGAAGAACAGGGAACAGAAAGAGGAGCCTATTCCGACTGCTCAGGTGAGAAGGAGAAGTATCCAGATCAGAAAATGTTACATGAACTGGAGGAGAGAAGGAAGGGACACAAGGAAATACCAAAAATACCAAGAGTATTCTTAGTTTTCCAAACATAGGTAAGTCGATCACTCTCCTTTCTTGGATCAGAACCTGAATGCCTCCTTTGAGCCTCGAAAGCTTCTCGTGACACTTTGATCCACACCTCTCTCTCAGCTTTTGGCACCTTCTAACCTTTCATGGTGGTTATTTCTTTATATTTTTAATGTCCCTTATTAGTAAGCTAAGCTCCCTAAAGGTATAAGCTGTGTCTTATTTATCTTTATAAACCTCACAGGACAGCGTGGAGGTGCACACATGTAATCCCAGCACTCAGAGTCTAAGGCAGGAAGATTGCTACGAGGAATAATAAAAAATAATATAAAAATAAAATAAAACAAAACCCATATAACTTAGCACAATATCAGACACACACAGGCACTAAATAAAATGGTCAAGTAAATTAGTCTAGGTATTTGTGGTAGTTTTCAGTGAAGTGACTAAATGCACTTACAGAAAACTGAAGAAATGTGAGACCATCCTAAGCATTGTAAAACCTGGAAATATCCTTCTCCATTCATTCACTCAATGAATGTTAAGAACATGCTATATACCAGGCATAGTTTTAGGTGCTAGGAATATGCTGACAGATTTGCTATCTAGTGGGTAGTACAATAAATAAATATAAAATTAGCAGGTGTGACAAGGATTTGGAGGAAAAATAGAGCTAACAGGATGGAGAATGATGAGAAGGGTAAGTATGTAATTGCCTAAGTTTGCCAGGGAAAGCTTCTCTTGAGTGTTAAAATGAATTACTGGAAAATGAAGAGAAAAAAACCCCA